TCACACCGGCTTTTTTTTAAATCCATGTTTATTTCCTGCTTTCGGGCACTTTCGTGTGTATTGATCTGATCAATGCGAGTAACTTTTTTGACAAACAGGCTCCTTTAAATGCCTTAAAAGCTTCATTATTAAGATAATGGAACTGAAGTCAAAAACAAATCAAACAATGCACGTGTAAAAGGTTTCCCCCAGACAGCTTGAAAATAAATTGAAAACAAATTCAATTAAAATAACAATCAACCTTTTTGTTCCTTCAGTGGTATGATTTCTCTGAGGCAGGTACGCAATGATAAGAGGTTTCTTTGAAATGCTTGGGATAGCGCACCCATAGGCAGAGCTAGGAGAGATCAAAGCAGTGTTTTTCCTAAAGAACAGCCTGCTACTATTAAGTTACTACTTTAAGGTGTGAAACGTTTATTTTTTTCCTCCTTTTGTGGATTTTTTTTGTGTGTGTTTTTTTTTTTTTCCTTGGGGGGCGGGGGGGGTTTTTGTTTTGGTTTGGTTTTTTTTTGGCTTTGGTTTCTTGGTTTATTTATTTATTTTGGTCCCAGATCCTCTTGTATCTGTTTCTTCTCTTTCCTCTCGCCTTTTACCTTTCTAAACTAGATCCTAAAATCTTGACCCAAAGGAAATGTCTATTAAAATATATTTTGGACAGTATTGCTTTCTCCCTGGTCTCTGTAATCAATAGTTTTCTATGGTGCTGGGGCACTGAAACACGCTTTCAGGGCCTTCCATGGTCCCCTTGAGAATATTTTGTTGCTCTAAGTACAATTACAGGTGGGTGGAGTATTAGCTTCTCCATTATTTGGCATCGTGCTTGTGGCCCCCCACCTCTGCAGCAAAGGTAAAAGTAATGAAGGCTACTCCTAATGGGCTGTTTGCAAATGATTGTGCTGTATTGGCTCACAGTGATAAAGACATCTAGTTACTTACTGATTGCTTTCTGTGTGCTACAAAGCACCTCAACCTTGCAGCGCTCTGAAAAAGGCATATTTTCTGTTTCAGCCAAGATCTTGTAGTGCAGGAACCATCCCCGTGTTATCCATTGATTAGGGGCCTCTCAGGACTGCCTGTGCACGGGCTCTTGTGAAATAGGAGCCTCTCAGGCTAGCGATGCTCTGGATAGATTACAGCCCTATCTACAGACAGCATGTGGTGGTGTTTGCAAAAAGACTTGCTGCTTTGTTCAGAGTTCTTGCTGCACATTTTCTCAATGGCTGCTCTTCACTGCTAAAGCACCTTTTATTCCCTGAGGAAGCTGATGAGCTTTCTGTTGTGAAGATCCACTGAAATAAGATATGAACTTCTTCCCTCTGTCATCTACTGTGTGCTTGAATGTGATGTTCCTGGACCTTTAGTTGGAATTGTTTTGGATTGCTGCTCGATAACACTTGAGTGTTTGGCTATGTCTTGCTTGGTTTGAAGGGATGGTGTCACACTAGTGTGTTACTGGTCAAAGGAAGAGTTTGTCTTGTTCTGAATGTGAAGTGTATCCTTGTTATTCTCGGCATTGTCGCTTCCACACTCACAGACTGTCTTTTGAGTCATCAGAATTGATTTTCATGCCCCACTAATTACTGCCATGCCTGTTCCTTGGAAACCATGGGTAGCAAAGGCGTTCATGGGCGTTGAACTAGTACAGTTTATTCTGAGATGAGTTAATATCTTACTTGAATCATATTTGATCTTAAATAGCTGGAGAGATCTTTGAAGGTTTCTTGCTGCTTTAGGAAGTGATTAGCTTACAGTTGCCTTTCTGCAGTTCTTCTGTTTGCTCTTCTCTTCATTACATAGTTCAGACAAACTGCAAATCAGCTGGCATCATCTGCTGTTATGCAGGCCCTGTGTGTTACTGGTTTCATTAAGGACTCCCAGTAACACGGTGTTTTTAAGATAAGTTTATGAAGATGTTTCCTCTCTGTCAACTCTTGTCAGTAGATCTGCCAGAATATTAATAAGAAATTGGACCAGTTATAGTTTTAGAGCTATGCTTGAATACATCGAGGAAGAGTCAGAATAATACACTGGCAGGAAAAAAACAAACAAACAAACAACAACGTTGTATTCTTCTGCAAACGCAGCCACATCTGCCTCATAGTCCAAGCTGGGAGTATGTGGTTGCCAGAGCAAGTTCTGCGAATGGGGAGGTCTGGGGAATTAAATTGATGGTGTTGGACAAGAATACAGTGGGGATATCATGTGAGCTAAATGGGTGGTCTTAATACATGTCACTGCAGCAAATCAAACAGAAACACAGTTCTTGGATTTATTTATCTTTTAAACAAGCATGATTTTTAGTACGACTTTATTTACAGGGTTTTTTGGGACACTGTGCTACTTTCACCATTTACCAGGCCTTGCTTTTTTTAAGCATTTGGATTGTAAGTTTATATGGAATTGAAATGAAGCTACTGGTTTTCAGCACGTATGATTAGGAGAGAAACTGAAGCAAGCCAGCTCTTAACAAGTTCTTCTCCGTGGATAACTCAAATCTTTGGCCAAATTTGAAAGCTGAACTTGAATCTAAATTTTACAAATAACCTTCACCTTTTCAAGTGGCTGAACCAATGTTTCAGGCCGTGCAAGCACTGGCTCTGAATGTTACAGCTCGACCCCATCTATGGCAATGTAAAGGAATCTGTTTATCTCTCCACAGAGTGCAGTCATTCCTCAGTGAAATGGCTGGAAGCCCTTCTTAGCAGCATAAAGTACAATTTTAGGTAGGAAAGCAAATGATTCTGCAGCCTACTCTGAAAGTAATTAACAGAAGCAGGGTGTAAACACTGGCTTCTGTGCTCTCTGAAGTAAACAAAATAAGAATTTATGCTACTGACCTTGTTAAGTAACTAACGTTTTCCCTCCTCTGCAATAGCTTTTGCTTTCTCCCTCAGTTCAAAAGCCCCCTGAGCCCAGGGCTGCGTGCTACACTGAAACGTTCAATCCTGCATTTGAATAAGCTGAATCAAGCCAGCCATACTGCTAAACATATGGTAAGTAATAGCATCATTAACAATAGCATAGTGCACGTTTGACAGCCGAAGGGATTTGGCTGCGGTTTGCTGCGGGAGTGGCAGCAGAGGAGCAGAGCTGGTGCCCCTGCCAGGATGCCAGCCTCCCTCCGCCCCTGCTCTGACCTTCTGGAAATCTGAAAGGCTGCCCGTCTTCCTGCCTCCTCTTCAGGCTCTTATCTTCTGCTGGCAGCTCCAGGGCTGGGTAGCACCAGTTGTGTTTCGCCATTAAAAGCTGCGATTCGTTCTCCTTGGGGTGAGCTCCTGGTGGAGAGGAGAGAGACCCGAAGCCAGGAGATCAGCAGACCAGGGGGACACATTTCAGTTTTGAATTTGTTCTGAGGAAAGCACACCATTCTGTTTCTATGCTCCCTGGCCTATCCCAAAGGCACAAGGGCTGTGGTCGCTGCCCAGTGCTGGGGACAGGCACCATGTCCTGCCCATCCATGTGCTCCTAGTCCTTAGGGTGCCTTGGCCCCAAGTGCGTCATTCTTTAGACCACCAGTATGGGGTCACAGCTGACTGACTTTTTGTTGCTCCTGTTGCAGTCACAAACACCTTGTAACTCCTTCCCCTTATGCCCCTGCTGCCCTTCTTTCCTTGCAGTCTCCATCTTTGCTTCCCCTCCAGGCTGTCCTTCCCCCATTCTCCTTATCAGATGTGAAATCCATCAACCTGCTGTGGATGAAACTTGTCCCATGTTGATAGCCAGTTTTGTACTCTTTTTTTTTTTTTTTTGTACTCAGTATTCTTTTTGTCTCTTGCCCATGGAAACAGCGGAGATGGCTCCTGATCAAGGACTCTCTATCAGTATAATGCTCAATGCTAGGGAGAAGTGTTAATATTGCTGCTTTACTATGCATCCTGGGTGCATAGAGTTCACTTAATCACTTTCAGGTTTGAAAGCATCCGTGAGCATTAAGTTTAAGGAACAAAGTCCCACCGTTTAGATATTGTACTCAGCCTCTGCTAGTCAGTGGGTTAAAAAAAACATCTCCATAAATGATTTTTTTTCTTTATTTTCAGCATGGAGACTTCCTACATAAATGAACGTTGCCCTGAAGCACTTGTAGTCCAGTTGTTACTGCTTTGTGCTGATAGTGAAAGACCCCAAAGAGAATGGAGTATAAGGTAATGATATCCTAAAATGAAAACAAACCCAGGAAGTTTCTGTATTTCTTACTGGCTGAGCTCGTAGAAATGCAGGAATAAAACAGAGGATCAGAAACAGGGAATGAAATGCAAGTGCTGCTTTTTTTTTTTTTTAATTTGAATCATTGAGTATGCTCTGAAAAAACACTTGAGGCAATGACTATTTTTCTTAAGTAGGAAATTTTAAAGACGTTATTCTGATGCAAAACTGTGTAATGTTGCTAGAGAAAGACACCACTTCAGTGATCTTACCTGTGCTTTTTTTAAAGGGATGTGTCTGGGGGGCAGAGGTGCTCCTGGCCTGTTTTGCAAAGATCAAAAGCTAATAAGCTGTATGGTTTTGGCTGTGCCTTTGGTTTGGTTTTTTTTCTATGTAGCTGTCTGAGAAGCTGGAAGAGAGAGCAATGGGCGAGAGTCATTAGTAAGAAAACTGTTTAGTGCTGTGAGCTGAAAATAAGGAAAAGATTTATCTGTAAACAGGGAATGGTGTTTTAACCAAAAGGGATGGTTGGAAAATGTGTTGTTAGACGGGGGGCTGCGATTTGTACCTGCAGTGTAGGCTGTACATCTGGAGCAGCAGCGGAGGTGTGTGCATTTGCATGGAGCCTTGCATAGGAGTTGGGGATGACAGCGTGCTATGGATATTTGGGTCCTTCTATTTACGAGGCCATGGTTTGTGTCCCAGTGCGTGCTACAAGGACAGCATGTGTTCAGCCAGCGTGCATTTGCCTGACTTTACAGATTTAATGCTATAACGTCAGCCATCAGTCTGCCTCTGATGTATGGCTCCCGGTGAATATTCCAGCCCTGTCCGTCGTGCGGGAGCCCAGCAGATGGAGCAGTGTTCCTGTGCATGAGGAGGTGTGGGGCCGCATCCGGAGCTGCGCTGTGCAGTCGAGCCGATCTGCCCCAGTGCATCTATGAAGCACGGAATAAAAGGCTCACTGTAAGAAATATATGTGAGATTGCCACTTTCTGCATGCGTGGTGTTTTGTGATATATGTGTAAGATTAGTGGAATGGTTTATGTAGAAATATATCAGCTTTTCTAAACTTTGTATGCTCTACTGTAGATTGTTTTTATCTGAGCCCTAATTTACAGCTAAAATTCAGACAAGGGCATGTGAAAGTAATCCTTCTGATCACATTGCTATTTTATGATAACAATATGCTTTATTATTTTTAATAAACCAGTGATAGCTTCTGTTGCCGTGTTCCCACAGCAGCAGCCATGAACAGTGGCACAAACAAGAACAGAAAATCCTTCTCCATCTCTTTTTCTTTTTTTCTCCTTAATAAATAATTGAAGGAGAAAACAAGAAAAATATGGTGTAGGATCTAAACAATAAACAAAAACCAGGGTCAGAGCACAGGGCACATGCTTTCTTCTCCTTTAAACCCGACTGCTCATATTTTTTTTCCTTGCTGTGACAGAGAAATGTACTCAACTCTTTTTGTACTGAATTGTATCTCAGAAAAACATTTTTATATATGGAGGGCTGAGTGGTGTAACATTTTTAATGGCACATTTTCATCTGCTTTGCAGTGATGGAACTGAGCTCTGCTGCTGTGCAAGCACAGCCTGGCCAGGTTATGTGCTCTGTCTGCCCTTAACCACCTGCCGTGAATCTCAGCTGGTGCACTCAGGTAAGTCTAGAATAAAGGGGGTCAGTGCCTGGAACCTTAAAGCTAATGAGAATTAAGCCACTTCATAGGCTTTCTCATCTCTTTCTTAATTTCAATGGAGCGACAACACCATTTCCGCTCTGCCTACAGACGTTGTGCTGGTGTCCATGCATCTTCTACTATATGTCCCTTGGGCATTTAGTTTCTCCCTGTGAGGCCACACTGCTGTGATATCCCTCCATAGCATCTTGCGGTCCACCAGTCTGTCTCTGTGGCCAGGGCACCCAGTGTTCAGTGATAAGGCAGCATTTCAAACGCTGTAAAGTATTCAACTCTAAAGCAAACCTAACAGGAATGTAAATAGCTTTCTCTGAATATGGGTATTTTGCATCACTGAGGAATGTCTTTTTGGCAAGCTTCCCTCTGTTTCAAGAGGTCTAAATTTGGCTACTGTTCAGCCATCCCACCTAGTTACATGAGATAAGCAATAGAAATGAACTGGGGGTTGCTGTGTTAACCACTCTGCCTGTATTCTATTCACCGTGTGTCTGTATTTTCTAGAGTTGTGCTTGAAGCAGGAACAGTAGCCTCTATCTCATTGTTTTAGCTCCTTTAGCTCCTTTTAAAAAAAACTAATGGGAATGGCTAAAAAGTGCTAGCTAACAAATAGATTTAAACTTCAGCTTGACCTCCTTAGCCAAGCAAAACAAAAACTGAGAAGGGATTAATTTGCTTCCTATGAGCACATCAGTGAGGAAGAGCTGAGGATAATGATAGCAAGACAACAAAGGGGGATAGATTTGTCATGAATTAATTTAGGATGCTGAAAGCTTCCTTATGTCTGGTCAGGAGAGTTCTGGGACATCACCTTGGTGGAAGCAGTCGAGCAAAACAACACAGCTGTCTTTTCAGCAGAGCATCCTCAGGGCATGAGAGAGATTAGGATGAGTCCTGTGGGGCCTGGACACTGCCCAGGGAGCTCTTCACAGCCCTTTGCTTACTCCTGCATTAAGGCCATTTAATGCTCTAGTTAGAATAACTCCAAGGTACAGAAGTATGCTTGGTTAAAACTGATTTCTGTGTCTTGCTATGTGCAGTTGTAGTACTCAAAGTACTTTTTACCAAGGGCTCTGGTTTACATTGGGTACAGAGAAGGAACTTAAATCATGGCATGCCGAGGATTATGTGTGTATTTTCTGTGAGGAGTGATTCAGTTTTAGTATTGGTTCTTTCTAAGAGAATATCTCTTGGATGCTTAACCTTGGGCCATGTATGGAAGCCATCATGCATTGTTCTGTGTTCTACACTGGGATTTGGTGCTGACATGGAAGTGGCACTTCTTGCTGACCCCTCACTGCTAGCAGGTACTGCTGTGATCCCCTGGGACAGATCATTGCTGCCCACAGAGCCGTGGTGGCACTTTCCAGGTAGGAGGGCTGCTGTAAGCCAGGCACTGCAGCGATTCAGCACGCACCGCAGCAATGTATTCCAGCTTTGTACTGCCAGGACAGAGGTCCAATCTATCTGATCCATCTGTTGTCAAATTAATGTCCAAGCTGGCTTTTGGATTCAGGTCTTTCACAGGGAACAGTGTGAGTGACAGCCAGGGGAAAGAACAGAGAGATGTGAATGTCCTGTGCTATAACTCTTGAAGACTGAAGTAGTTGGTATTCATGGTTCAGCTCAGCTTTGGCACGGCTCTCTGAAATCATAAGTTACACAGAAGAAGAACCATGTGTGCTCAGATACCCTAGATCTTTTTTTATTGTTATTGTACTAACTCTTCATTTCTAAGTAGCTACGTGCCAGATGCATGACATTTCCCATCTTGCTTACAACAGAATTTTAAATTATGAAAACACTTCTTGCCTGAACTTTGCTGAAAGGACGTTGAAAGCTCTGTGATCATTTTGCGTCTCCCAGAGAGGTAGTCCATAAACTCCCAGCACTTTGCAAATACCGCAAGATCATATTTTACTAGATTATGAAGTTTGTGCACTTCACATTAGTAGTACTAATACCTCAGAGGAACAAAAGAACATTTTTAGCATTTCATTTGCATAATGGCTGAAGTGAGAATTTGTTCCTTGTTGAATAGGTACCTGGGGGTCCTTTGATTTGCTGTAGCACTCTGTGCAGCAGGGAAATAACACAGAAGTTAGTAGCACCGATGGAATTTAGGTACTTTCCGGCTTGTTGATGTCTACTACTCAAACTCCATTAACTTGCCACCTGCAGACTTGGTAGCTTCATGTATTTGTTTATAGCAATTCTGATTAGCCAACCGTTAAACACAGTGAAACCTGTGATTTCAAATAAGTGTCATCTGAAAAGCAGATTTAAGTTGCACCAGGGGAGGTTCAGGTTGGACATTAGGAACAATTTCTCCTCAAAAAGAGCAGTGATGCACTGGCACAGGCTGCCCAGGAAGGGGAATGGAGTCACCATCCATGCAGGTGTTCAAGAAAAGGGTAGATGTGGCACTGAGTGACATGGTTTAGTGGGCATGGTGGGGATGGGTTGATGGTTGGACTTGATGAACTTAGTAGTCTTTCTAACCTATGATCTCAACTTAAATAAAAATACTTATTTGCTATATCTGAGGATGTGCACACAAAGATTTGTACAAAGGTCAGTTCTTACTGACAGCATAAGGGAAGGCTGCAGACAGCAGTGTGTTTGGGAGAAGGGTGCTGAGAGACCTGGGGCACCCTGCCCTTACCTGGGGTTATTTTACCTGTGTTTGAATGGGCAGGCAGAGCTGGTGCCTGTGCTGTGCATGGCCACACCTAAAGATCGTGAGGCAATGACTCTGGACAGAAGTCTTACGGGGGAGATGCAGAGGACTGGGGAACTGGAGGGAGTTTCTGCATCATGCAAGGCGGCACAGCAAGTGAGTGAGCCCTCCAGCCAGAAGCTGTTTAGCACAACAGCTGTCAGTGCAGGATCCCAGCGAGGCTGATGCTGACAGCCCGGCCCTGCCCTCAGCTATCACATACCCTCCAGGCTTATCCATTGTGGCAGAGAGCTCTCCTTGCAAGTGAGAATCTGAAAGCGTTTGCTTGATGCAGTAGAGAGACCACAAGCTATCCTTGTCCTAAAACATGTGTTGGCAACTGCTTCTAGCATGATAACAGTGGACTCAAATTGCTAACCCTTGTGCAAAAAAAAATCCCGTAAACTTACTCAAGAACTTCTTGCTCCACTCAGGAATGCAGCATCTGACCTATCTGTATATCTACTGAGCAATCTGTTATTGCTTAGTATTGTGCTTATTGTTTGATACTTGCAAACCCAAAGAAGGGGGAGAAGATATTGTGGTGACACAAAGGGAAAGTAATGAAAATTAAGTAGATGCATTTAAAGAGAATTAGTTAAACTGTGTTTAACCTAAGTGTGAACGATCATTCAGAATTAGTGAAGTATTCATTTGCTATGATTTACTTTGAAGGTGGATTAAGGTAAATTGAATTAAGGCCTCTTTAATTCTAAATAGAAACATCTACATAGGAATGCAATTTAACTAATCTGTTCTGAGAGTTAATTTGAATAATATATCCAGGCCTGCAAAAGCAATATGGGGCAGGGTCTCAGTTTGAAGGATCAGATTTGCTGGTAAGTGTTGAAAGATTGTTAGAAAGAGTTCCCCTTCCCCAGCCATGCAGGGCACTCAGACATCATGGAGTATTTACAAGCAGCTCTGCCTGGGCACTGCAGCTTCTGGCACAGCTTTCAGAGCCGTGGCTCAGTGGCGTTGGTAAGGACTAACATGGCAATGGCTGCTAGTCCATGGGACTGTCACTTAAAATCTCAGTTGGAACTTCAGAAAAGAGGCTTTCTAGAGTTGTTAAAAAAAAAATCAGCGGTGTTTTAATGAATAAATTGCAAAGAGGTTATCATTAACCCTTTCTGGTTCCAGATCACAGTGTAAATGCTTGCTTTTTTTGGCCAAAATTTTCTGTGCATTCCAACCCAAGAAGGAGCATGCAGGTGTAGTGTCTGTGCTGCTGCAGATTGATATATTCCTCCGTTCCAGCCTCCCCACCCCCCAAAGATACACTTGTCTTAATTTCCTCTCAATTACACTCAGGCATTAACTAATACTGACTAACTACAGCCCAAAATAATTATTGCTATCTGTTCCCTTTGTAAATATAACTTCAGCACTGAGCTAGAAGAATAATGGCATATTTACAGAAGGCAGCTAATTAAATTGAGCTTCAATTGCTTTCAGTTTGCCAGAAGGAGCCATTTTCACAGCAAAAAATGTGTGCAAGCCTGCATGCTTACCAGGAACAACTTGGTATAACATAATTCAGAGTTCCCAAGACAAAAATTCAGTTCAAGACAAATTTACACTGGCAATAAAAATCTCATTAAGGAAGATATGAAGATCTCTCTACTACACCACGACAGTTAAAAGAGGTTATCATTTTTTTCAGTTTATTTAAGGAACAGTATATATTTCATTGTTCCAGAGCAGCTGTAATTGCAAGTGTCTTTCAAATGCTGCTTGCAGTAATGCATTTGTCTTCTGTCTGTAACTTCAGAACCAGCCTCTTGATGGTCTTCATTAGGAAGAACTCCAGCAGAAGATGCTGGAGTTTCCAAGCTCTTCAGTGTTCAGTTTTTCCTAATTTTTCCAGCTTTAGCTCCTGCACTTTGAAAATTCTCTCTTGCCCCCATGATTCAACCAAATGCAAAGATTTCCTGTGATCACAATTTGTCTCCAAATGTTTACACCCTCTTTTATTCCTTTGAGATGAAACCATTCACTATAATTACAGAGCAGCAGTCCTTGACAAATCAAAGTTTGAAGGAACGATTCTTGTCAGAGCTCTTACCAGTTTCCAGGGCCCTTTCTGTTTTGGGGAAAAAAAAAAAAAACAACAAACAAACCAAAAATAAGGGGATTGTTTCAGCTGTTTTTTGTCCCACTGTTCAAACAAAGCCTGGTGCAGAAATTATTTACAGTCTTCTCCATTGCAATAGTTCACTGAGCTGGATTGAAAGCTGATTTT